CATAGTATAGAATTCCTTTAGTTTTCCCATCCAAACTTGTGTGAACCAAAGTATCACTGTCCGCTCATTGCCCACTGGCTGTTCGAAAACTGGCAGTAATGGTTATGAGCCAGGCAGTGATTCTGTACCCTGTACTAGTGAACTATACGTCAGGACATGGGAGTATAGGTTACTCATGCACGTATATAACTACATTGCAGTTAAATTGCATGCAACATGTGTGTAGCTTCATCTGTATCTTTACTACTTAAAAAATTCGTAGTGATGGTGGTGAGTCCTGAACGATCGAAGGGTTAACATTCATCGAAGGATCCTCTCACAGGCATCAGCGGATGAGATTTTCTCCCACGATCCACCCGTCGCACCCCTTCTCATCTCCCCGATCCGCATCGCGCTCCCTGTCTCTCCGATCCGTAATTCCGCATCGCACTCCCCAGCCCCCCATCCTTCCTCCTCGGCGCGCCGCCTCCTCACCCCACCGACGCGCCGCCTTCCCATCCCGCCCAACCCGCGCCTTCTTCTCCAGTTGTCCTCCCTCCGTATTGTGCCGTCCCTCGCTCCGCCCGCTCCTCTCTCTCTCCATCGCGCCACCGCCCCCCTCCATAAACCATGACCTCCCTCAAATCCCGATCATCTGGGCAGCCGTCGTTATCGTCGGACTGAGCTCTTCGATCATCACCCTCCGTTGCTGCCGCTGCTTCGGAGCCATTGGAATGGAGGATGGGAATGCGGACCTCAGTATGGTTGAGGGGTTGGACGAGATGATGGCGGTGGTTGCAGGCGCGCCCACCACCACGCTCTCTGGAGTGTGGAGAGGCGCGCGCCCGCTGCTGCAAGTCACCGGCGGTGTCGTCGGCATCATCATTAGCTAGCTCTGCATATTAAAAACATATGAGTTGTCAAGTAAAGTTAGTGCAATGTAATAAGATGTTTTTAATTTACCTATGAGAATCACTATTAGTATTTCCTCTTGCATCAATTTAGTGGAAGATATCAATAAACAACAGAAGATATTAAAAAAGGAACTATTTGGATGGAAATATGCATATATTGATGGATTATCAACACCTGGAAGCTAATGGTAAATAGTTAAATACAATTTATTTTTCTCGATAGCCTAGCAACATAATTTCATTAGGATAAAACCTTTATTCGTACCTAATATATTTCCCTCTTGCTAAGATTTAGCTCAGGGTACTCTTCATTCAATGGCCTAGTGTAGCGCCCGTTCCGTCGTGGCGCCTAGCGGGAAATTTATCTCTTAAAAACCCTAATTGCGAAATTTGTTTCTTTGCTTGTTCTCTAGTGTCCGTGCCATCTCAGATCTCAAATCCCCGATCTATCGCCGAGTTCAATCCCGAATCCAAATCCTTCCCAAATCAATTCCTCCGCAAAAGTCTAATTTGCCTCCCCCGGGTTCGATGGGCCGAATTTCTCTCGGCCCATCTCCCCCTCCCTCCCCGGCGCTCTCTCTCTCTCTCTCTCTCTCTCCCTCCCTCCCCCGCTCTGCCCGCGCGCCGCGCGCGCGTGCGCGTGAGCCGCGCCGAGCCGAGCCCTCCCCCTCCTCCCTCACTCCGCCCGCGCGTGCGCGAGAGCCGCGTGGTCGCCGCCCGTGCCGCGCCTGCGCCGTCTGCGCCGCCCGGCCCCGCTGCCCTGCCGCGCAGCCGCTCGGCCCCGTGAGCCAGCGCGCGTGCCCGAGCCGCGCCGCTCAAACCACCGCGCCGCCCATTGTTTCTCGCGCGCGCGTGCCGTGGTGGCCGACCGCCTGGTCGCCGCCGCCGTCAGCCTCTGCCGCGCCTGCCCGCGCCTGCCGCCCGTGTCGTCGCCCCGCTCCAAACCGCCCCGCCATCATCGCTGTCGTCATCGCCTGGCCCCCGCCACTCCACGCGCTAGCCTCCAAGGGACGGAGGCAGAGCTCCTCCTCCCTCTGCCGCGTCGCCCCCGCTCCCCTCCTCCTTTTCCCAAAGAGGCAAGGGACAAGCCCCCTTTCTCTCCCCCCTTTTCTCCCTTTTTCCCTCTCGCCGGCGTCACCTCCTGTCGCCGTTTTGGCCGCTAGCCGGAGCACCAGCTCGTCGGCTTGACCGTCCAATGTCGGTTCCCCTCTCCCAAACCGACATTGCTGCTCCTATAAACCCAAGCTCCTCCCCCTCCAAATCTCCCTCGTTTTCGTCTCTCGCCGCCACTGTCGCCCTGTTCGCTGTCGCCGTTCGTCGTTGCGCGTGTCGGAAGAGCCGACACGAGCAAGGACGCGGAAGGGGACTTCGGCCGCGCCCTCTTCCTCCTCTTCCTCGGCCCGAGGCCGAGACGATCACGTTTCGCGCCGTCGGCTCTCGTCACTGCGCCCGCCCGCACGGTAGTGCCTCCCTCCGTTCTTCCTCCTCGTTCCATCTCCTCCCCTTAGACTCGGGTAGTAGCACGAGTAGCCTCCCCGTAGCTAGCCGGCGCCGCCCCGACCGTTGCCGCCGCTCGCCACGTGCTCGCCGCCGTCGCCGCCCGAGCTCGAAAGCGCCTCTCGTCGCTGGCCTCCCTCGATGCGTTTCCTCCTAATCCGACGCTAGGGACGGATTCCCGTAGCCGCGTAGATGCTCTCGCTGCCGGGAATCGGCCCCTCGTGACCTCGTCGCCGTTTCCCCCTTCTTCCGCCACCGGTTGCCGCCGCCGCAATTCACCGCCGTCAAGCTTCCTCCGGCGAATCCGAGCCGTTGGCTCGTCTCCCCTCGTCTCGTGCAACCACCCGGTGTGCTCGCTTTCGCCTGTTCCGGCCGGCATCGTCGTCTACCTCCCGCCGGCCCGCGTGGCAGCCACGTAGGCGCCACGTCGGCGCCAGCTCGGCCAAGACCGGGTCGAGCCGACCCCGGTCAGCCACTCCCTCCGGCCCCGCTCGCGGGCGCGATCCACCGCGAGCCGTGAGGCTGCGCGTGGGCCCGCCGCATCCGCGTCCTCCGCGAACCGCGCGCGTGCACCGCGTCTCTTCCCCAAACCCTAGCGCACGCCGCATACTCCCTCCGCATGGTGAGCCGAGCCGCTGACAAGCGGGTCCCACCCGGGACCACGCGAGGTGAGCCCGGTCCACCGGCTCCCTCTCTCCTCCCCTCCCACGCGCGCTCTGGGCCGCCTTTTGGGCCGGCCGGCCCATTAAGCTCGGCCGAGCCGCCCCTTTTCTCTCGGGCCGCGCCCTAGCCACCCGAGGGAAGTCTAATTTCCCTCCCTCTTTTCTTTTCTTTTCTTTTCTTTTTCAAAAAGGATTTAATTAAATCCTTTTCCTTTAGACCAAAAATCCAATAATCTTAGAAATTCAATATCTTCCCAACCGTAAATCCGTTTGACTCCGTTCAACTTCCAAAATTCCTCAAATCTCGAGATCTATCTAATGGCATGCTTAGAGGTCATTAATAGGGCTTTATTTTCGCCGTTTGTTGAGTTGTCCCGTTTTGCGTATAGTTTCGGAGCCCGAAGACCAGCAGTGCGAGGATTTCAAGGATCAAGCTCCAGATCTCGAGCAAGGCAAGCCACCTTTGAACATCTTGAGCCTATATTTGAATTTAATTATGTTGCTTGAAAAATATTATGCATTGATAGGATCGCACTTAATCTGTTGTCCCGTCTGCAAGGCAGATTGGCAGACCTACCTAATTCGTTGCATTTGATCCTTCCTTTGTTAATTGTTATATCATGTCCCCTTGTAACCATCTAGTTGCGTCTCGATATTCGTGCACCCTGTGCGAGTATCGACGGACGCCTTCAAACTTAAAATCTGAAAAACAACTTGGGTAAAACTTGGGTTTTACAAAAGACTTGGAAAACCCGACACCTGGGTCGGTGCTTGCGAACTAAATGAATTTCCAAAACCGCGGACCGGGGAACGTACCGGGTGTACGGTTTCCCTCTCTCGCACTTAAGGACCGATTCCTTGGAATTTCATCCAAACATAAGACAAGTACGACCACATGGGTGGAATGGGACACCCCTGGCTGAGTAACTAGCTTATCAGGGGAGCCTTGATGCCGAGAGACATGTGGATTCGCCGGGGTGGTGTCGGGGAGGACCCCTGGGCTTCCTGGCACAGTATGGTCTGGGACCTAACTTGTTGTTGGTCTGGGACCCCTCTCGTCGGCATATGGTAAACCTGTGTCGGCTTTCGAAATGCCTTGTCATGAAAGCTTGGAGGTCTCCCAACGTGGCCGATCCCCACGGGCTGGGTGATCCGGGTTAGTAATGTCGTGTGGGTAAAGTGTACCCCTTCTGCAGAGGTTAACTAACTGTTCGAACAGCCGTGCCCACGGTCATGGGCGGATGTGAGGTGATTCCTAGCGTAGTTTTGTTTGCCTACTGTTTGTGAAATTGCTGTGGTGGAAAGGAGATCGATGTTTGGAAAATCTGCAGCTGATGGGATCAGCTAGGCCCGGGTGGCCGTTTGAAAGTTGTTGGCCCGGGTGGCCGTTTGAAAGCTGTTGGCCGGGTGCCAATCTTGATCTATTTTAAAGATTGATACATTGCACATACTCCGACCGGACGAGACGCACTGTCTCATCCGTGTCGTTTGAGAAGCACTCACTTAGTTGTTTTTAGAAAAGAGTTCAAATAAAATCAATTGCAAAAACAACAACCTTTCCTTGAAGCCTGCATTAAACACTTATTTCCCATGGCTTGTTGAGTACTCCCGTACTCACCCTTGCTCTATATAAATAATCCCCCCAGTTGCTGAAGAAGATGAAGCGGAACCCGCTGATAAGGAGTTCTTCCAGGAGCAAGCCGGCTACGATGAGTTTTAGGGTTTCGGCTTAGTTCCCAAGTCGCGCCTGTGTTGATTGGTCCAAGTCCTGGCTTCCGTTTCCCTTTTGTAATGCAGTTGTGAGCTCGGGATCTGTCCGCAGCCCAACATGACTGTACCTCTACTCTATAATAAAGAGACCTCTGTTGCTGTGACATTCTATCTCCCTATGATACCAACACTGTTTCCTGGGACTGGTATCGATTAACAGGTTAATTTGGAGCGTCACGGGCTATTTCCGGTCGGGATTAGTTCGGGGCGTGACACCTAGCCAGATCCATGTTGCATGTTAATTATGACATGGGTTGTGCTATTTCTTGGTGGAGAAGATCGTTAAGTATCTCCTGGCATGCATGCCGCTGCCATCAACATTCTTTCTTGATGGCTGTGAGCATGTCATATTTTATCTGGTGTTATCCCGGCTGATGAGCATCCCGTTCGATTTTTTTTTCTTTGTTTACATTGGTTAAGCTTGATGTATTTTTCAGATTTGCTTCCATGGATCAGTTTGGTCAGGTAGTCTTGTTGCAATGCAGAGTTTTAGATATGAACGGTTCATATACTTCATATCATAGTTGTACACAGTGGTTTCTTCTAATCATTCCCATCTGATTCTTGGGAGTAGCCAAATTAGTACATGGTCAGATATTAGGAAGGAAGAGCAGTATAATATCTATGTGCAGTTTAGTTCTAATTTACCGGCTATTCTCACACGTTGGCTTTTTTTATTGACTGAGATATCATTTTCACTACAGTCCAAATGTGTTGGTCAATTCATAATCGATCAGCAGGCCTGGAATTTGTCTCAAGGTATATACATGGAATAGTGTTCCAATATGAGTAGTGACTAAAGCAGATTAATTTGAATTGTGAACAGAGACTCTGTCAAATAATCAGGTCAGTACTAAAATTCTATTGATCACTATAAAATTACAATCTCATTTGATGTTGCCTTTTTCCTGGTGATCATAGGAGTGACCCCTTTTTTCATGCTTCAAAGGCATATGGTTTTGTATAAAATTCCATTTCTCAGTATAGAAGTTAAAACTCTCATTTTTGTCTGAACTAATAAACTATATTGTTCTTCTCCAAGATTTGTTCACTAAGTTGCAATTGATAGCAACTTAGATATCATTTTTCTTCTGTTTTCACTGCAGTCCAAATGTGCTAGTCAATTCATAATCGATCAGCAGGCCTGGAATTTGTCTCAAGGTATATACATGGAATAGTGTTCCAATATGAGTAGTGACTAAAGCAGATTAATTTGAATTGTGAACAGAGACTCTGTCAAATAATCAGACTCTGTCAAATAATCAGGTCAGTACTAAAATTCTATTGATCACTATAAAATTACAATCTCATTTGATGTTGCCTTTTTCCTGGTGATCATAGGAGTGACCCCTTTTTTCATGCTTCAAAGGCATATGGTTTTGTATAAAATTCCATTTCTCAGTATAGAAGTTAAAACTCTCATTTTTGTCTGAACTAATAAACTATATTGTTCTTCTCCAAGATTTGTTCACTAAGTTGCAATTGATAGCACATTTCTACATTTTCTTGGCGCGTCCATTTGTGCCTCCACAGTTGCCTAATATGCTACCACTGACATTTCTTATTATTCATTCCTGTTTCTTAGAGAATTGTATTTATCTATGCAAAATTGCAACTCGATGTACTGAGGATTCTATAAGCTTTTAAAGATTACTATGAACACACAGTGTACTGTCCAGAGAATTACTCAGATTCATTTATGTCTTTAATGGATTAGATTCCATGTAAATTCAGTTGTAATCCTTTAAGATGATTTTCAGTTTTGTATATATATATAGTTTGTTCAAGGCATATAACTTGAAATTTAGCATGTACCAGAAGATTATTATCAGCAGACCCCAAAAAGGTCACACTCCAATTTTGATTTATCAAGTGCATGACCCTTGATAAATTTACTCATGTGTGTGATGTCCGTGACTGCTTCCCGAAGCACCAACCAATTTTGTTTTGAGGAAAACATCAACTAACTATGTATCACCTGAGAGGGTAATATTCAGAACTTGTGATCTTAGAAAATGAAACCGTATTCTTCTGTGCCAATGCCTAATGGTTAGAGAAATTCTTTTCAAGTATACCTGATAGTCTGATACATTAACCATATTCCTTTGTTTAGAGGAACATTAGCCACATTCTATCCTCTTCATTTGCCAGTCATAATAGGCGAGATGCTTTAATGCATATATTTTTCGCCGTTGCAACGCACGGGCACCCAACTAGTATATAACATATACTGAGTGAGCAACTGAGAACAACACATCAAGGGGAGGCAGTGGTTTCACAACTCACTGCCGTGGCGAGGGTAGCATAGGGATGGGAGGCGTGGGGAAATCAGTTGAAACAATTGCTCAAACTATTTCTTAATGCTCAAATATTGGAAGACACAAAACTCCTCCACCGTCTGAAACATCCTCAGACTCTTCCGGTAAAACACTTCCATCTTCCGGCAAAACACTTCCAACTGTTCTACTTTCTATGCTTCCGGGTGCTACGGAAGCAGTGTTGTCTTCAGACACATCCCGCCCTCAATTGGAAATGCCCTCAGAAGGTGACCGGAAGAAGCTAACCTATGGGTTGTTAGACTGAAGAATAGTGAAAGATGTATTGTAGATGTCTGAAAATCAATATCTACCCTGATGTAATCTCAGTGTAAACCTAATCTTACTTTGAAACGAAATTCACGTGGGGTCCCCCCCCCTCCCCTTCCCTGGGCAGTGATTTGGTAAAAAAAAATAATTGCTCAGCTTCAGTAGTAGACACTGCAGTGCAGTGTGATAACCCTTACTGTGATAATCTATCACCAGGGTTTTACTTTTACAAGTGGCTCATTAAAAGTCCATTTGTACTAATGGCTAAGAGCTCCGGAGCGGGTTTAGACCACAGTTGGTTTGTTAGTCAACTTTTGATATAGTAATTAGGTGCCACGTGTAAAAAACAAAAATAAAACAGTGGGCCCAACATGTCAGCCCACCTCTCCCATCTCATATGCACTTCTCTTTCTCCCGATCTGTTTGGCCACGCACGGCGACAACTAGACACCTGAGCAGGCTTCCGGACAATTGGTTTGCAAGACGAGCTCGCTGGCCCCAACCTGCTCATGGTCATGAAATTGTGAGAGACGACGTGAGAGAAGCAGGAGAAAGAATAGGGAGGAGCCTATGACATGTGGGCCCTACTCTTTCTTTTTAATGTTTTTTATCTGAGTGTGTCCATGTAGAAAAAAAAACCTTGGTTTGGATGAGGGGTGTGATTTGAATGGTTTCGATATATAGTTCGTGGTGTTGGATATTCGGTTTTGAAGTTGAGGTTACAGTACATAATGGTTAAAGAGAGAGTATAATAATGGTTAAACAGTTTAGATAAACATAATGGTTAAAGAGGGTATAATAGATTTATCCCCCTTTATTAATTTGCCACTCTTTAGATGCGAGATTATTTTATGATTTACCAATGTGACTGACATATCATAGCACACAAAGGGTCCTGCGTGTTATTGTCATGATGAACGGTGAACACAGAAGTACTATATATGAATAATTTTGACAAGTGCTTTATCACTGATTAACGTCATAATTTGCACGCATTACGAACTGTCAGAAACTGAATAATTGGATTATTCTGCAGATGGAATGTGCACGTGCATGTGGGGGTGAAATTGATTCTGAAACAAAAATATCTATTTATCGTCCTGCGTAGTTATGACTGGTGAGTAGACTAGTTGCATTTGGATAAGTTTATATTGACACAAGTATCAACAGCAATGGCCTTAAAAAGACAGACAGGCCGAAGATTGAGCAGTAATCTACACTACATAGTGTCAAACTGTCTTGATGAAGCACTGTTTGTGTACATATATTGGCTGTATGGAAGAACACATATTACCCTTTTTTGCAAACCCCAGAATTAATATATAAAAGAAACTATACATGGGTTTGAGGTCCAAGAAGTGTGTGAAGCAAGATATTGGGTATTTCTTTTTTATTTTATTTTAAATCTTTCTATTCTGAATTCAGTTATATGGCATAAGCTTGAGAGGCATGAGGAATATAGAAGCCACCATCGTTGTGCTGGTCAGATTGTGGAGGACCTGTGATTGTTTGCCCATGGCTGAGAGCCGAACCAGCGGCATGCAGAACGCTCATTCGGTTTAATCTGGTGTAAGCCGTTAGTTTCCCGTGATCACGAGGTTGACCTCCAAGTCTCCAACCCCAAGTCTGGTTTGATTTCGTTCTGTAGTACCAAATTTGGTACGACCGAGTTGCTACGATATGCTTTAATCAAAATAATTGCTTCTTGGGCACAATTTGGCACTAAACCTGATGGCATGAGGCACCGAGAAGGATCTTGTCTCAAAAACACTACATACAAATTATGAGCAAGCGCATTCTACATACTAATTAAGGGTCATAGCTAGGGATTGAAAACCTCGGTGCGAAATAAATAACAGGACAGTAATATTTTTAAATACACGCTATAGAACATGTACTAGCAAAGACAGCGGTAGCGTGTGACTTGGAGTTTGCTCGTGCCCTAGCGACATCCGACATCATAAATAAAAGGAAGAGACAAAAAAGACAACAACCAATACAAACAAAGCAATTACATGGGCTTCACCGACCATGGGCCCGCATGTCAGCGACCATGTCAGGGGGCAGTTTGCATCAGAGGATCTGCTTCCCTACCATCTAGCTTCACCACTGCACAACTTGCTTCCATTGAGAGACCAATACAGGATTGAAAGACATGGGGAACCAAACCAAACCGACGAAGTGATCTTCGGAACAGGTTTACACACGAGATTGCTCATCAGCTTTAACATAAGATTCCAAAGTTTAATTTGGTACAGATTGGTTTAATACTTATACAAGAGTAGCAATCCAAGAGTGTTCTGACGATGATTGGTTTAATACTTCATGACGTGTTGTTCCCTGCTCAAGAAATGGTCATCACTATTTTGATGCTCTTCTCAAACCATTTTGACATTTTGCTGTCTTGATAAATGTTCATTAATTATGTCACGTTGCCGTAGTAGGTATATACTCTGATTAAGAAACCCAATTAATATGCTTTTGTTCAATCGACTGAGCCAGTATAGCAAGAGAAGGGGAAATAAGAACAATCTCTAGCATCTTTTGTGGAACTTTTACTACAAAACAGCATGCTTGTAACTCACTAGCTAGTACATAACCGGCAATCACTACCAGGCACCAGCTCATCAGTAGTGATTTGGATTGAACTGGCAATCAATGAGTATTTGTACCAGTTCATACCGTATAGGAAGTTTTCCCATCCAAACTTGTGTGAACCAGAGTATCACTGTCCGTTCATTGCCCACTGGCTGTTCGAAAACTGGCAGTACGTAATGCTGGTTATGAGCCAGCACTACTACAGATCCGGGCTTCAGTGACGGGTCATCTGTGACGGGCCAACGCAACTCGTCAAAGATGAGTCATCTCTGACGGGCCGAAAAAATATCCTCTTCAATATATGGCTACCAGGGAGGACCCGTCACAGATGTGAAGTCATATGTGACGGCTTGCACTTGTAACCCGTCACAGATCGTCTGTGACGGATCACAACCATGGCTCGTCACAAATGACATGTCATCTGTGACGGGTGTAGTATTATGAACCATCACAAAAGAGACCACTCATCTCTAACGGGTCTTTAACTAACACACGTCACAGATAACGTTATCTCTGACGGGTGGTAGTTATGACCCGTCAGTGATGAGTGAAAATTCAAATTTTTAAATTTTGCAAAAAAACCTCGGATTGAAACATGTCTTATATAAAAGTTGTAGCTCTCAATGATATCCACAACTTTATAACTAACAACATTTCTATTAGAGATCGTTTACATCCCCGAACATGCATTACAAGTGATCAGATCTACTTTTAAAAACAAAATTTTGAGTTTTTTTTCAAATGACATGGATGGATACATGCCCCGTATCAAAGTCATAGAACTCAATCAGATCTACAACATTATAATTGAAAATATTTTCATTTCACAAAATTTACATGTTTATAAAGTGAGATATATTTTGAAAAATGAAATTTTGAATTCTTCAAACAACATCGGATGAAGATATTTTCTATGTAAAAGTTATAAAACACGATGAGATCTATAACTATTTAGTTGATAATATTTTCATTTGAAGTCATTTAGGGTGTTAAATATATGTTAAATGATTCAGACAAGCATAGACAAAATAATAACATTGGGTTAGTAGTCAATATGTGTTGAGTAGGTGAGTTGGTAAGGGAACTCTATATGGAGGTTGAGGTCTTGAGTTCGAATCTCACTTGTAGCATCCAAGTTATATTGCGTGAAAAATTGTGAATTTGTAGGTAGTGATGTGTAACCATGTATAGGATGGCTAGTAAAATTCAAAATATTTTTTTGAGGTTTTTTGTTGCGTTTAAAATTCAAAAATTGTATTTCTTGCTTTGTCATCAGTGACGGGTCGTAAGTTACAACCCGTCAGAGATGAGTCATCAGTGACGGTCAGGTAGTTACGACACGTCACTGATGACTCATCTGTGACGGGTGACAAGTTTTAACCCGTCAGAGATGAGTTATATACCGGTCAGAGATGGGTTATCTGTGACGGGTGTTTCATCCGTCACAGGTGATTTTGTCATCAGTGACCACTAATCACTGACCAAGACCAAACCCATCAAAAGTGAGGGTTTGGGCCCGTCAGAGATGACCTGGTCCGGCGTAGTGCAGGCAGTGATTCTGTACTTTGTACTAGAAAACTACACGTCAGGACATGGGAGTATAGGTTACTCATGCACATATATAACTACATTGCAGTTAAATTGCATGCAACATGTGTGTAGCTTCATCTGTATATATAACATATACTGAGAGAGTAACTGAGAACTCATCAGGGAGGCAGTGGTTCACTTCATTAGGTGGTTTCAAAGTTCATTGCCGTTGGTATGCTAGATTGTTGCTGGTAGCGCAGTAGCATAGGGATGGGATGCATAGGGAAATCAGTCGAAACAGTAGGGTCAAA